ATGTTCGTTGCAGCACCACTCACAATAGCAAAGACAGAGGATCAACCCAAATGCCTATGAATGATCCACTAGATTAAAAAAAAAAAAAAAGTGGTACATCTACATCATAGAGTACTATGCAGCCATAAAAAGGAATAACTCGTGCCCTTTGCAGGGACATGGATGAAGCTGGAAGCCATTATCTTCAGCGAGCTAACACAGGAACAGAAAACCAAACATTGCATGTTATCACTTATAAGTGGGAGCAGAACAATGAGAACACCTGGACACAGGGAGGGGAACAACACACACTGAGGCCTTTTGGGGGAGGGTGGGTGGTGAGAGCATTAGGGAAAAGAGCTAATGCGTGCTGGGCTTAATACCTAGGTGATGGGTTGGCAGATGCAGCAAACCACCATGGCACATGTTTGCCTATGTTAACAAACCCGCACATCCTGCATATGTGCCCCAGAACTTTAAAAAGTAATAATTTTCTAAAAAGATTGCATCATCTACAAACAAACAAAAAACGTATTAATGTAATCAAAAACCACCTGTTCCCCAAAAACTATTGAAATAAAAACTTAAAGTAAATTTTTAAAGTGGAAATTGTGTCATATTAGTCTATTTATAAAACCAGAGTACTTCTAAAGGAAATCTTCAATAAAATTAATAACTAATTTAGAGGATTTTAAGTCAAATGGTTTGTGGCTGTGGAATTCAACCAATAATGGAATTAGAGCTGAAATGCACAGTTTGGGGGTAGGAGAAAAAAGCAGTAAAATCATTTTAGATATATTCAACCACTGTAAATGAACAGGTGCGTGAATCAATATCCCACAACTGCAAAAATTTTAGTGAACCTAAAGCGTCATCATGACAAAGAAAAAAAGAAGAGGAGGAGGAAGAAGAAGGAGGAGGAGGAAAAGGAGGAAGAAGAAGAAGACAAAGACGAAGAGGAAGATGAAGAGGAAGAAGAAAGAGGAGGAGGAGGAGAACAAGAGGAAGAGGAAGAAGGAAGAAAGAAGAGGAAGAGAAAGACGATGTGAGTTAGGAAGTCCTGCTGCCGGTGTTGCTATATTCAATACAGTATTTCAAACAAGGAAGAAAACAACAGAAAACTTAAGAGTTGCTTGCAAATAGTATCTGTATATAGTGTCTGTTCATGTCCTTTGCCCATTTTTTAAATGGGCATATTTTATTTCTATAAATGTCTAATCTTCTTATGTAGCCTTCCAAATCATAGAATAATAGCATAGCAATTTTGCCTGAAGACCTACTACTCATCTGTTCTGAAATGTCACGTGTAGTAAAAACACACTCAGGAGTCATTTTGGCCACTCTTCTCTACTATAAAGAGCGGTTGCCTATATAATGCTTCACTGATGGAATGATTGTCTTTAAAGGGCACACAAACAGACTGTGCACCCCGTTCATGACAGCTACCTGCTGATAGGGCTCCCTTCCGACCCCAGCACACCTGCATGCAACCCCATCATTCACTCACCAGCTGAGCCCGCACACAAAATACCCACTCCCTTTCAATGACGACATCTCAGTTCATCAGAAACATGAATCAAATGTGAAAACTACAAATGTTTCAGCCAGAAAGTTAGGCAAAGGAGAATGATTTTGAATCTGAACAATTTGAACTCTACAGAAACACCAAAAGAAAGCAGGTGAAATGCTTATGAACCAAAAGGTGGAGTAAAGTTTGGCCATCTACTGAGGAAGCATTTGGAGCCTTCATCTCTTGAGCTCTTTAAGAGTAGTTCAAAAACAAGCTCAGCACTCTGCCGTTGTCCTCCCTAAAAGCAAAAATCTACAAGCAGCTCAGTATTGCACTTCATTAACCAGCCCTGCGATTCCACAAATACTTGCATTTACAGAACATTTTACTCTTCTTAAAAAGTAACATTTAAAAGAATGTGATAAAAAGTTTTTAAATTATAAAAACTATGTCACTAAAGTGAATTCACTTTCGTTTCTTATTTGCCAATTAAAATGTTTTAATTGACTTAAGGTTTTCTAAAATGGAATAAGTCGTATAAGCCCATTTTTGCAATTATTATAGCCATTCTTTCATCTTCCAATGCATACACATAGTATCTAAAAGGATGTTGACCAAATATCACCAAAGGCTGTGTGTGTGTGTGGTAGAATTTGTAAACCTTTTTGCTTGTACTATCATGTATCACTTGAATAATAACCATGTATCATTTTTACCCCAAAAAGGCATTCTTTTAAAATCCAATGGAACTCTACACATTAGAAGTTATGGAAAATTGGCCAGGCGTAGTGACTCACGCCTGTAATCCCAGCACTGTGAAAGGCTGAGGTGGGCAGATCACGAGGTCAAGCGTTCAAGACCAGCCTGGCCAACACGGTGAAACCCCGTCTCTACTAAAAATACAAAAAATTAGCTGGGCATGGTGGTGCGTGCCTGTAATCCCAGCTACTCGGAAGGCTGAGGCAGGAGAATTACTTGAACCCAGGAGGCAGAGGTTGCAATGAGCCGAGGTTGCACCACTGCACTCCAGCCTGGGCAACAGAGCTAGACTCCATCTCAAGGAAAAACAAAAAAATTAAAAAAAGGAAAAAAGTTATGGGAACTCCTCAGATAACAGTACTAGAGAGGAGACTATTTCTCCCCAGTGCTCTCAGGTCTCATCGCCGGTTTTTCCCTACCCTGGTCCTGTTATGATACAAGAAATCTTTTGCTCGAGGTTAACCCCTATAAATCAAAACTCCCACACACGGGCATAAAATGAGACAGGAGCCAAATTTACGGGGTTCATAAGTTACTGCCACCCAGGCGTGCCTGAAATGAGTACAGAAGCACTGTAGATTCCAGTGAGAGAATTTAGAGAAAGGGCATGCAGCCCAGGCCTTGCACATGCTAAAGGTGAATATTCTCTTCCTTGGTAAGGCTGGGTCCAGGTGAACAGGAACCGGAGCCGACCACAGCCTTGATGACCGGGAACCGTCCACATCCGCAGAACACTGCTTGCCACCACCCGCCCCAACAAGTCTCTCTAGTTCCCTCATTTACTCTGTTTTTATTACGTGTCTCTTTTGTCTTTTTCTCATATCTGAAATGTAAGTGAACTTAGGCACTCTCCGAGCTTCCCTGAAGTTCAGCTACATTTTTCCAGCTCGTCCACAGTAAAACGAAAACTATTCAGAGAATCTTCCCTGATCAAGTTTTGTGGTAAGGCTGGGAGGAACAGAGCTGATGTGCTTTTGGGTGGCTTTATCTGTAATTGGAAAGGATTGGCCTTCGTGGATGTCTAATCCATTCCCAGAAGAGGTATTTTCCTACTTTCTGGTTCTAAAACTAACAGTCCTAAAAGGAACAGGAGGTGATGGTATCAGGGGACCTGAGTTAAAATCCTGACTCTAAAAAATTTATGGTTGAGTTAATACACGTTTACAAAATACATACAAGAAGCCAGACTTTGGTGCTCAAAACTGGAAAGAGCCTGAGACTGCAGGCTTTTTGAAAGCAGAGTTTATGTCTTTAAGTGACATAAATGCAAGGCATTTATGTAAGATGTAAGATGGTGGAAGCTGGGAGCCCCCAGTCAGGCCCAGCCACCTCCTGTCCTGGGATGAAGTCCACCCCATTCTTTCACGCCATTGTACTGCATTTGCCTCTGCTTTCCGTATTCATCACTTACATCTTTGTCACTTACATCTCAGATATGAGAAACGGACAAAAGAGACACGTGATGAAAACAGACGCAAAGCAGAGGCAAGTGCAGCATAACAGGGTGAAAGAATGGGGTGGACTTTTTGAATATGCAAAGCAGAGACAAATGCAGTATAATGGGGTGAAAGAATGGGGTGGACTTCATCCCAGGCACAGGAGGTGGGTGGGCCTGACTGGGGCTCCCAGCTCCCACCATGAGGTGGGATGCCAGGGTGTCTGCCCCTTGGAGGACCTCGGCATCCAGAAGAGGCAGTTTCCTCCTAGAGGGTCACCCAACTCATGCAGGATAATTCAGAAAATGATTGTTGAAGGAGGTCATCCTTGAACTACAGGGGAGGTAGGGGTGGGTGACTTTCCAGGCAAGGAGGACAGCACAGACTCGGGCAGTGATACTTGTGAATTCATGTGCTCAATTACACTGTGCATGCAAATCAGCTCTGGATCCTTCACCCCTATGAAACCCTGATTCTCTGTCAGCAGAATGAAGACAACAACACTTTCCTGGCTGTGTAAAGAGTTGCGAGGATTCAGTAAAGAATATCAAATAGCTACGCCAACTGGCGAGTCCCATTATTATGAAAGAGGGGTGTTGCACAGGACCTGCTAAGATCCAATTCAAGATAACAGTGCTGTATGGAGAAAGAATCCAGCCCCAGCTCTGCCACTAACCTCCCCCCGCCACCATAGGCCTCAGTTTCCTCATCTGTCAAATTAGTGGCTTGGAACCAGAAAGGCTAGAAGCCCTTCCTGCACTGACATTTTATTTGTAAGTCCCCTTTAAAGCTAGCTGCCAGTAACTAGCACGTGGCTCCCACCCCCAGACTGCTTCTTTTTTCATTCCTAACCTTTACCTTGGCAGATGAAATGTAAGATTCATCAACCACATTTGACAGCCCATGGCAGGTTTCCTGTTTTCCATCATCCCTCTGCAGGTCACAGACACACAGAACCCAGCCGTGGCAGGCTCAGCCAGGGTCCAGGGCTGCTAGGAACTGCTGCATTCCTCCCCCAGGGGCCAAGGGAAGTCCTGAGCACAGTCCAGGGTTGTTTGGTTTTGAGGTGTGCTGGGATGAAAGGCACCCTGGAAGTGGAAGGTTTGGTCATTCATTAATAAATTATATCTATAATTGAGGGTTTGTTCTTAAGAGCAAGTCCTTTGAAAGTACATTCCTTCAAACAGTGACTGCCACAAAGGCATCAGATATTCAGCACCTTCTCTACTGCCTCAGCACAGCTAGCTTCATTCCAGGATCAGAGATCCTGTTCTGAGCTGGCTCTCCCTCCTCAAGGCTCACTCACCCTCCCTTTAGAGGTGGGGCTTATTGGGGGTGAGAAAAGGTGTGTGTATCTCTGCTGTTTAATGTCTGTTTTTTTAAAAAGGAAATCTATACTACACCAAATATGCTTTCTTTTTGGTGGACTTTGACTTGACCCTTTCCAGATAAACGAACCATGGAAAAACTTCACTGCAAGATTAGAAAGACTCCTGAACCTAATACCCACCTGATATCGTGGGCCACACCTCTGGGTTACCAGGAGAAGGGAGGAAGCAAACTGTCACATTGATGTCGCTCTAAACAACAACAGTGTGCAGAGGCCCAGGGGCACTTCGGGATTGACCAAGAGGAAACTCACGTTGCACAATGATACGATCTTGTTGCTACAATTGTCAGAGAAGGGCACTCCCACAGCAAAGGGCATAAAACCATGCAGAGCAGTCTGGGGCGGCTCAGTTCTGCGGTGCCAGGGAGTGGAGCAGAGCCCAGCCCCATCCCAAACACAGATGGGACCATGAACTCCAGACACAGCTTCAGCCAGACCCCCTCGGCTTCCTTCCATGGCACTGAAGGGGGCTGGGGCCAGCCCAGGAGCTTCCCCCGGGCTCCCAGTGTCCATGGTGGTGCAGGGGGAGCCCGCATCTCCCTGTCCTTCACCACACGGGGCTGCCCACCCACCGCAGGGTCTTGGGATTCTGGAAGACGCAGCCCCCTCCTAGGTGGAAATGGGAAGGCCACCATGCAGAACCTCAACGACCGGCTGGCCTCCTACCTGGAGAAGGTACGCGCCCTGGAGGAGGCCAACATGAAGCTGGAAAGCCGCATCCTGAAGTGGCACCAGCAGAGAGATCCTGGCAGTAAGAAAGATTATTCCCAATACGAGGAAAACATCACACACCTGCAGGAGCAGGTAAGACGCTGGGGACCCTGGAGTTCCAGATGGGGCTGCTTTGCCGGGGATACTCAGGAGGAAAAATGAGTACAGAAGACGATTTTCAGGAAAATTGCAACAGGGATTGAAGTAATTGTACACAAAGATTTTGAGAAATGTTTCCTTATTATACCTTAAATTTGGACCTGGACACATCTGTTTTGTATAATTAATCTTCTATCCATGGATAATGTAGAAAAAGAAGGTGGCAAAAATGACAGAAGTGCCACAGACTTTCAAACATGAGGCTCTCTGATTTCTCTTTTCTTTTCTTTCTTTTTCTTTGTTTTGAGACGGAGTTTCACTCTTGTTACCCAGGCTGGAGTGCAATGGCGCTATCTCAGCTCACTGCAACCTCCGCCTCTCAGGTTCAAGTGATTCTCCTGCCTCAGCCTCCCAAGTAGCTGGGATAACAGGCATGCGCCACCACGCCAAGCTAATTTTGTATTTTTAGTAGAGATGGGTTTCTCCATGTTGGTCAGGCTAGTCCCGGACTCCGGACCTCAGGTGATCCACCCGCCTCGACCTCACAAAGTGCTTGGATTACAGGTGTGAGCCACTGCGCAGGCTGACTACCTGATTTCTCACACACCAAAAACACCTGAAAACTGTGAGGCAACCAGCTGCTGTTTAGTGTCACTTACGACCCAACGACGTCATAAAAATGATAAGGACGAGTATTCGTGCTGCATGCTCAGTGCGCCAGGCATAAGAGAGTGTTTACTTTCTCATTCCCTCAGTCCTGCTCCACCTCAAAGTTTTGTGAACAATGTGGTTATCCATCAACAAAAGGCTGAGTTACACTATTTTGAAGATTACGCCTAAAAGTTGTCACCACACCAGCATATAGGTCACCATGACATCCCTAGGTATTTCCGTTTATGAGTTGCTTGCAGATAACGTTGCTCACAGTTCTGAGAACGGCATATTGCTAGAAACAATAAAACAAGCATAATTTTTAGAATCTGTGAGTTGGGATGGTTATAAAGACCTTCTTCAAAAAAAAAAAAAAAAAACTAACTCTTTAAACAAACCTCAAAAAACCTAAGCACATACCTTCTGGGATGTCTCCTAACATTAGCTAGAAGTAGAAGGAATCCAGTCATATCACAGGTTCTTTTTTCAAGCTATCTAACTCCCCTCTTAGATACGACCATCCCAGAAAATTCTAAGACCATGATTTAACCTCCCCTAGAAAGGGCATCACAAGTTTCCAATATTTATACCATATTATTTCACAACGCTCAGTCATTCTTGCTTGAATGTAGGAAGGACCAGTCAAGATAATATAAATCTGTCCTGGTAAGAAACCCTAATTATTGAATAATCAACCTAATAGCTGACTGTGTAATTACCTTAACTATATAGTGCACGGCTGTCTTGATGAAAAAAAACAAGGTGACTCAACAGTCCTCATCATGTTTTTTTTTTTGTTTAATAAACTTGCTTTTTGAGTGACATTTAATATACCTAAAGTGAGGGTACAGGAGAGCTGTGTCCACTCAGAGCATTTCACCAAGATCCAGGAAGGATAAGCCCCAGGTAATTGTGGGACCTCCTTGCACCTCTGTTTTCTCATCTTCAAATGAGGGAATTGAGGATTTTTGCAAATGGAGAACAAAGGGAAGCCAAGACTTCCAAAAGAAATACAAGGTTAGACCCGGTCAAATAACTTATGAGCTAGCAGAAGAGATTTTAAAAAGACAGGGAGAAAAGGGAGGGAAATGTTTATTGAGCGCTTATTATGTACCTAGGCATCATACTGGATATTTAATACACATATCAACACCATCCAAGAGCCTTCTGCAATGATGGAAATATTCTATATTATTTTATTTGATTCTGCAACAACCTGTAAGGAAATGGGAGCTCGGGAAAAAAGTGAACTAGCCATCCAAAGCCATCAGCAAGAAGCAGAGGTGGGATCTGTTTCCAGTAGCCTCATAAATTTCACTACAGTGCGGTGCTGCCTAGCCTACCTCATACAAAAATAACACTTATTATGAATAAAGATAATGCATTACACTTGAATCATTAATCATGCAACACATATTTCATACACATTATCTCATTTAATTCTCACAACTGTGTGGAGCAGGTATTTCTATTCTCAGTGTATAGATAAGGAGACTAAGACCTAGTCGTTGTCTAAATCCTTTGGAACAGAATTGAGAAAAGTGAGCAGGTGCAATGGAAGGTGTTGGGACCAACCTTCCCACCCTTCAGATGACCTGGAATTCCGGGTTCTGAGATTAAATAGGAAACTTCTTTGGCTTTGAATTCCACTCTTTTCTGGATTTTTACCTCTAACGTGTTTTTTCTATGTTTGAAGAAAGCAACTCTTTAAAGTTGAGATTGTCTATCCACCCCTCATTTGAAGATGAGAAAACAGAGGTGCAAGGAGGTCCCACAATTACCTGGGGCTTATCCTTCCTGGATCTTGGTGAAATGCTCTGAGTGGACACAGCTCTCCTGCACCCTCACTTTAGGTATATTAAATGTCACTCAAAAAGTTGATGAGAAGTTGAGTTTAAAAATTAATTCAATCCCTCTGAAATCCAGAATTGGACATAGTCATAGGAGTATCATAAATAAAACACCTTGAGTGATTCTCAATAGGACTATATTTGGCATTTTGTTTTACATTCTATTTTTCTCTCCCTGGGAGGAGATCAAACATCCTGAAGCAAAAATGCTGCACAAATATAGCAACTTGCTTCTAAAACAATGAACTCAGGGCCTTCAGGAGAATCTGGTGATTAATTACAACACTCAGTGAAAAAACTATGCCTCATATATCATTTCTCAACCCATCTTCATCCACTTATCACCATGAAGGTTGTCTCGGAAATGATGGTTGTATCATAATGCTGTACTAAGTAAGTCTGCATAATGGGAAATGGTTCTAAATGTGCTCTGTGTCAAGTACACTTCTGAATTCACATTTGTGTACTATGAGAATGCTAGCTAGGGGAATCAGACACTTGAGGTGGACTTTGCAATGGATAAATTACCAGTTTAACACAGAATAGCTAAATAAGCCCATAGACAGTATTTTTGATTTTCTGATTCTCTGGATGTAGATTAACACCTCATAGTATGTGTCAAATAGAAAAACTCAGTGCACAAGTAAGTAAGGCCTACCCCGATGGTCCCCAGGCTCTTTGGGATAGAGCCACTTTTCACTTTCCATGAGCTTAGAAAATAAAAAGAATAAGGAGTCTAGAGGAAAAAGTATTGGTAAAATGCCCCTAAGCAGCACTGTGCAGAAAGGCAAGGAAATACCTGAAGTATCCTTTTTCATAGCAAGGGAACAGGCCATAGTACCACCTGGAATCCCACAAGGGGAAAAAAGAATGAAGCAGGAGCAGCCAGCTTGGTTATGTCCCCACCATGAGAACAGCAAAAGTCTAAGGAGGCATCTCAACATATAGAACCTGGGGATGCTTGCCGTGCATTGACTCTACAAAAGTGCTAGATTTTTAAAAAGAAAAGTATATTATTTACATTTTTCTGAACTAATTCAGTTTCGACCAATTTTTCACTGTCTATAATATGCTAAGAATATGTTATTTGCCATTATTTGACTTAATCTCTTCTCATTCTCTTAACTCTTTGATAAAGTAACTATTATTATTGCTATTTTATGGATGAAGAAACTGAGACTCAGCCAAGCTCACCTACCCAGTAAGTGTGGAGCAGGATCCCTGCTCTCTGCGTTCCAGACCCGGCATTCGTGCCATCTCTGAATCCTGCTATTGTGCATTCATGATACCAAATTCCATGTGATCAGTGGAGCCTTAAATAGGACCAGATTCTTAAAAAGTTGCCTTTGTATTGAAGTATAGCTTTGTCCTCAGAAAATACTTTCTAAACAAAGGAATGAACTATTAAATATAATGGGAATGACCGAGGAGTCCCTGACTCCAACTAAATTACAGAAATTTAGAGCTAAGACCTCAAAGGTCCTTGGTCTCTAGTATAGACTCCTTATTTGACAAAGGATGAAACTGAGGCCTGGAGAGTAGAGTGATGCATCCACATGGATGGTCAAGAACAGAGCCAGAACCAAAGAAAAGCTGCAAGTCTCGGCCAGGCACAGTGGCTCATGCCTGTAATCCCAGCACTTTGGGAGGCCCAGGAGGGTGAATCAAAAGGTCAGGTGATGGAGACCATCCTGACTAACACTGTGAAACTCTGTCTTTACTAAAAATGCAAAAAAAAATTAGCCAGGCGTGGTGGCAGGTGCCTGTAATCCCAGCACTTTGGGAGGCCCAGGAGGGTGAATCAAAAGGTCAGGTGATGGAGACCATCCTGACTAACACTGTGAAACTCTGTCTTTACTAAAAATGCAAAAAAAATTAGCCAGGCATGGTGGCACGTGCCTATAATCCCAGCTACTCGAGAGGCTGAGGCAGAGAGTCGCTTGAACCCAGGATGCACAGGTTGCAGTGAGCCGAGATTGCACACTGCACTCCACCCTCAGTGACAGAGCATGACTCCAACCTAAAAAAAAAAGTAGAAAGAAAAGAAAAAGGAAAGCTCCAGGTTTCTAGTGCAGCATAACACTTGGTATAAAAGCATTATGACGCTTTTGACAATGAGACATCTTCTACCCTAAAGACAGTGACGTACATCAAATGTGCACTATTTTTCTGACTATAACATACCTACAAGTATTTACAATTCATAAATGTATACACAATTGCTCAAGTAAGTGCTTTCAATAATATTTTTCTCTTTAAAGTAAAAAATATATTTATAAACATCTAGTGAAACTCTTTCACTAGAGGCTGTACCACTACTAAGGCTTATTAAGCATTTTCATTAGATGGTGAAGAATTACATCAGTTAATATTTTAATAGCTACAATGAAAGCATTCTCATCACGGAATAAGTTGCAATCACATAAACATAGCTACAAGTTATATGCATGGCTATGGTCACTTTGGGCAAAAAAAAATTGTGTTCTATGATGATTATTACAAAATACATTTAATATGAGTGTGTTAGCTTTACTCAGTAACTGACTAGAAACATGAATGCTATCACAAGTAAGAATTATGTTCACCTAAAATAATAATTTTTGTACTTTTGGAGGGTTGAACTAACTAAAAGTAATGGCAAAAATGACTTTTTCCCCAACCTAATATAATAAGGAAAGGATCAGAACCTAAAGTCCTTTTAACATCTTCACATGTGGATGAGCTTAATTAAGCAAAATGCTATAACATGTCCAGAACATAAAAAGCTAGAAGGCATTTTGAACAACTACTATCCTTCCCCTCCCTATACCATTCTTTCAGCAGTTGCATCAATCCAAGCCTGTCAAAACTCATTGTAAAAAGAAAAGGGCAGTAACACTGGCTGCAGATCATATTTTTACTATAAAATCATTCTGCTTTGCACCTAGTATGTGCTCACTAAACATTTACTGATTCAGTTATGCATTGATCCACTGCCAGAACAAGAAGTTGTCTGTACTAACAAGTCAGATGTTCAGGAAACTAGAAGACAGGCATGCAGAGGTCATGCTGGGTGTGTCCAAGTGAGATAACTTCTGGTGCATGTTTTACAGATCGTGGATGGTAAGATGACCAATGCTCAGATTATTCTTCGCATTGACAATGCCAGAATGGCAGTGGACGACTTCAACCTCAAGTAAGTTCGTTCTTCACAGTGTTGTTCAGGTTCTTTCTCGTTTGCTTTACAAAAGGAAAACTCATCTTGCCGTGACCCATGTCTAAAATCTTGTCATGAAAAGGCATAGCAATGGCAAATGCAACGTGTGCTACTTGAACGAACCTTAGTTTAAACAAACCAGCCATAAAGCACATGTTATGGTGTGGGGAAATTTGAATATGAATCAAGAAGTAGATGATATTAAAACGTTATTATTAAAGTTTAGGTGTAGTATTATAATTTTTTAAGTATCTTTTTCTTAAAAGATGCATCCTGAAGTATTTAGTCTTAAAATGTCATCGTGTCTATAATCTGCTTTAAAATACTTCAGCAATGAAATAGGTAAAACAAATATGGCAAAACATTCATGGTTGCTAAACATCGGTGATGGGTATGTGACTGTTTATTATCCTATACTTCCTACTCAATTGAAAAATTGACATTGAGTCACCAACATGGAAAAACGTAGCATGAAACTGACATACAGAAGACATCCTGTATGTATTCATTTGCTCTCATTAAACCCAAAAAGTAGAAGATTCACCTCTAAATGAAAATGAATCCTTTCAAAAACCACGGCCTTCCAACAACAGGTGCGCTCTTCTCTTCCTTCTCATGAAAGGTATGAAAATGAACACTCCTTTAAGAAAGACTTGGAAATTGAAGTCGAGGGCCTCCGAAGGACCTTGGACAACCTGACCATTGTCACAACAGACCTAGAACAGGAGGTGGAGGGAATGAGGAAAGAGCTCATTCTCATGAAGAAGTGCCATGAAGAGGTAGGACTCCCCCGGAACTCCTGGCAATGAGCACAGCTCTCAGCCTGCACACCTCAGGCTGATTCGACAGCTATAGTGGAAACCACTACCTTGATGCCAATCACCTTGTCCTTCACCCTAAATAGTCATTGGAAAAACATATAAATATCTAATGTTTCTAATTTCAAGGTCAGCTACTCACATGTCAAATACAGCAACCAAAATGCAATTATAATTAATGATGAATTGGTCAACAGTTTTGGTAACATACAATGTTCACCTAGATGTGCTTATTAATATGTTACTATAAGAATCAATGTGTGAGACTGGACTTCCATCATCATTGGCCCAAGGTTCACCAAATTAGGGGACACTGTAATGAAAGGAGTCTGCTACCAACCAAGATAAATGTGATGTGGGGCAAAAATAAAGAATCCTCATTCCCAGAAGCATTTAACTGACTTTTAAAGAGTTACCATCCATCTCACGTCCTCAAGACTCCGATAAAATGATAGAAAAACAATTCGCATTTTAGGAAAACGAAATTGCTTCTGAACATCAAAGAGCCCAGTTTCTGAATAGCTGGTTAGATAATGATTGTTAATTAAACCTTTCTTATGGCCGCATGGTTTTCATAAAATACTATGGGCATCAGCCCTACAGGATCACAAGGCAGTGACAAGATTTTGAAAGCCTCTACATCCTCTCTCTGCCTTTTGCTTCGTGAACTGCTTCCCAAAAGCTTTGGCCTATAACCTGGAAGGTTCAGCTGCTTAACTATGTTGTCTTTTCACCAATCCACATCTGCTGAACAGGACTTTGCACACTATGGAAGCGTAATTCTTTTGGAAATATTTTCAAGCAGGGATCAAGTCAGTAATCATGGAGGCCATTTGAGTACCTGTCTTGTGATATTCTTTTTTTTTTTTTTTTTTGAGACAGGCACTCTCACTCTGTCATCCAGGCTGGAGTGCAGTGACATGATCTCGGCTCACTGCAACCTCCATTTCCCGGGTTTAAGCCTCAGCCTCCCAAGTAGCTGGGATTACAGGCATGTGCCATCACACCTGCCTAATTTTTTTCTATTTTTAGTAGAGGCAGGGTTTCACCATGCTAGTCAAGCTAGTCTTGAAGATATTCTTTATTTTATAAAATTATTAGAGATAAAAGTATACACTGTTTTATCATCAGCAAGTAATATTTGAAAAACCAAACCAAACCAGTGGCAGTGGAGCCACCGCATAACCAGAATGTTTAAAAGATCCATTTACCCCTGTCAATCAACATGGCAATCCAGCTTTCTGATTGTCAAAGCTGGTCCATTTCCTTTCTCTGTTATTAAATAGGAAATGGAGAAGCATCATGTGCCAAGTGACTTGAAGGTCAACGTGAAGGTGGATACAGGTCCCAGGGAAGATCTGATTAAGGTCCTGGAGGATATGAGACAAGAATACGAGCTGATAATAAAGAAGAAGCATCAAGACTTGGACACTTGGTATAAAGAACAGGTAAAAGAAAGGTTCACTAACTTCCCAAAGGTTGCATTTCCATGGAGTCCCAATGCTGATGCCTTTGCCTTGCTTGGTCCCACAGTATGCAGCCATGTCCCAGGAGGCAGCCAGTCCAGCCACCGTGCAGAGCAGACAAGGTGACATCCACGAGCTGAAGCGCACATTCCAAGCCCTGGAGATTGACCTGCAGGCACAGTACAGCACGGTGAGTAGAGGCTAGGAACACCCTGGGTCCCACACCACCTCCTCCATGAAGCCTTCTGAGATCTCTCTCCCAGGCCCCGACCCTCAACTCCTTTGATACACCTATCACTTTCCACTTTCCACCCAAATTGTTTATGTTGAGAACCATAATAGAGGGCTACCATGTATTGAGTGTCCAGATGCTGCCAAGTATTGTGCTAGGTAGTTCATGATATTAAATGTCATTCATCCTTACAGTAACCTTTCCAGATAGTTCTTAGTGTCCCCACTTTAGAGATGAGGAAACCAAAACTCCAACAGTAAAACAGTAAAACAGTAAAATAACTTGGCCAAGGACACACAGCTAGTAAATAACTGGTGGAGAAACCATGTGATTTATTTGGAGGAGGGAGGTTCTAGACCTCCATGATTTCTATCAGTGCCATCTCCACTTACAACCAGGCTACCCCCCTCAAACCCCAAAATAGAGAAATTCCAGTGCCAACATGGTAGGTGGTAAATCCAGGCCTGGCTGACTCCAAAGCAGTTCCCTATTCATTTATGTATGTGTCTGATCACCCAGCAAACTCTAAATTCTTGTGTCCACGTCATTTCCATCATCTTCGCAGTTTAGAAAAATGCTTGGCATGTGTCATAAGCATTCAGATTTCATTAAGGTGTATCATTTGATTCCCAGTATAGCCTACTGAGTGTTCTAGTCATTCATCCAAATAATTGCCAAGTGCTAGTCTACCCTCGGTCTTGAGAGGAAATGATTTCTTCGTTTCTGTTGCAGGTGCACTCAGGCAAATGGCTGTTATGTTTTATGCATCTGTGATACAAACGTTGTGAACAGACACTGAAAATGTGCACTGTAGAGATCATGAGTACAAAAATAATTATAGTGTCTTACAGCTGCCAAAACATTTTAATGTACAGTATTTCACAATGGCCCTGTCAGGCAGGCAAGGCATGTATACCCATTTTCACGCATCCTACTGTCTGACACCAATCCTATCCTACTGTCTGACACTAATCCTTAGCACTGAGGATTTTTTAATGATGGCGTTTATATTCTAGTAGGAAACAGACAATGATTGTGAAAATCATCAAAATATCAATGTTAGATGGAGAAAATTGCTACAGAGATGAAGCAGGGGAGGTCAGATGCACCAGGCTGAAGAGCTGCCATCTTAAACAAGGTGGTCAGGAAAGCTTTCCTAGTAGAGTGGCAATGAGCAAAGAGGTGCTTGATGTGGTGGTGGGCTGTGTTCCAGGAGGAGGGAACCACAATGCAGAAGCAACAAGGATCATGTCTGTGATGAGTTGTAGGAGCAGCAGAGAAGTCTGTGTGGAAGTGAGTGAACAGAGGGAAAAAGAAAGGAGAGAAGACGAGGGGAAGGGAGGAGAAAAAGGAGGAAGAGAGGGTGAGGCTGTGGGGTCACAACAGAGCCAGACTGTGTAGAGCTTTGCAGGCTACTTTGGAGGGGGCTCAAGAGGAACAGCAGGTATAGACAACTCTTTGAGGAGTTTTGCTGTAGCTGAAGGAAAGCAGAGAAATGGGATGATAGGTGAAGGTAGGTATGGGTTTAAGGGAGAGAAATTTTATGGTAGGAGAAATTATTCTATTTGAAAGCTGGAAGCTGGTGGGAATAATCCAGTAGAGAGAACATTGATGAGGCAAGAAGGCCAGCAACTGCCAAGATGACTGGAGAACAGACAGCTCACTCATAATAACACAGGCAAGCCAGGACCTGGTCATAGATTCAAGCACATGTATGGGACCAATGGTGGGGGCAGTGGATGGTCTCTCCTGATTGCTTTTATTTCATCAATAAAATCAGGAAATGAGGCCATGGACTCAGAGGAAGGATGGGAAGGACACAGGAGAGGGAACAAAATGGTCCCCTGGGAGAGTAGAAGAATGACTGGCCAGGGAAATATGCTTTAACCAACAGGCAGCATGAACAGCTCCCTGAAAATTAGTTGCCACAATAAGGTGGGAGTATCCAGCACAGTTATGAGATTCTCTTTAAGGTTAAAATTATGCCCATCAGAAACGCAGATGTTACATGCAAACAGAACAGGGACTTGAACCCAATCTTCCATCTCCTAGCCCAGAAACTTCATTTAGCACTGTTAGAATTTCCTCAAAAAATGACCATTTTTTTACCGTCGTCATAATCAAAAAGCATTGTTTGAGACTAGGGTTGCCAGATTTACCTAATTAAAATATAGGACACTCCATTTAGTTGGAATTTCATATAAAAAACAATTTTTTTTTTTAGTATACACATGTCCCATGCAATACTGGAGCAATATTTTGGACACAGTTACACTAAAAAATTACTCATTGCTGATTCGAAATTCAAATTTAACTAGATGTTCTCTATTTTATCTGGCATCCCTAATAGAGACCCTTCTCCGAAGATCAAAGAGATAACAGTCCTAGTTGCTGTCTCTGAGAGTTTACCATCGGATCAAAAATATAATGTAAGGTATTAAAGAACAGTTCAGAGCAAGGCAATGGACTTCAAAAGTCCCAGGCCAGGCACTGTGGCTGATGCCTGTAATCCCAGTACTTTGGGAGGCCAAGACGGGCAGATCATGAGGTCAACAGATCGAGGCCATCCTGGCCAACATGACGAAACCCCGTCTCTACTAAAAATACAAAAATTAGCTAGGCATGGTGGTGCACACCTGTAGTCCCAGCTACTTATGAGGCTGAAGCAGGAGAATCGCTTGAACCTGGGAGAAGGAGGGTGCAGTGAGCCGAGATCATGCCACTACACTCCAGCCTGGGCAGCAGAGCGAGACTCTGTCTCAAAAAAAAAAAAAAAAGTCCCAACACTGCTCAACTCCCAAGTCCCAAACCTGTAAGTCAGCCTACTTCTCATCTTGGTGTCCTCTGCGGCAACGAAGACACCTAGCCAAATGGTCAACATCTGCTAAGTACTCAACAAGAACCTGTCATTGACCCAACCAAGCCATCAGTCAATTAACAAAAGATCATTTCCTGTTTCAGAAATCTGCTTTGGAAAACATGTTATCTGAGACCCAGTTTCGGTACTCCTGCAAGCTCCAGGACATGCAAGACATCATCTCCCACTACGAGGAGGAACTGATGCAGCTACGCCACGACCTGGAGCGACAGAACAATGAGTACCAAGTGCTGCTGGGCATCAAAACCCACCTGGAGAAGGAAATCACCACGTACAGACAGCTCCTGGAGGGAGAGAGCAAAGGGTAAGAAGGCGAAGGCTGGCATGAGAGGAGCATGTGACGAGCATCCAGCTCCTGTGGGTGTATGTGTGAATCTCTGGGTTTAGTCACTCTAGCAAAAGAAAAGTTGTGTTGAGTTTCTCCAGAAGATACCTATAGCCAGTTGTATTTCACTAAGCACCAAGCGTAATTAATCAACTAATACTCACAGGACACTAAGATTTGCAATCAGAAAAGCTAAGGTCTCTAGCAGAAAACAATTAAAAAGATTTTGGCCATGGTGTTTCCCAGTGGGAATGCACACAATTTTGGTTCCAAAAAAAAAAAGCCAGGGGGAATGTGTTAGTCCACCAGCCAAAAAAAAACTGTGCATACAAGATTGAGATGTCCAGACTTTCAATCTAATATTTCTGGCCACCCCAGGAAATAACAACAGCTGACATATATATTCTATGACCCAAAAGGAAGTAATTGAAGTTTTATAAAAAATATATAAATTAAACATCGCCAGACCAAACTTTGAACAGTCTGAGAAGCTCAGGGTTCTCAGGCTGAAGACTCAGACCCTGGCAGGGATTCTGGAGGAAACCAAGCTTGCAGCTGGCTGAACAGAATGGATGGTTGGTGGACATTCCCTAACTCCAGGGTTAGTAGAAGGCAGTACCCAATGCCTTCTGCATCCAGATGGGTTCTCCCATGAACTCATGACCTTGAGACTACTAAGCTCAGACAATTATCCTCATTAAAGAGCTGAGGATTTACAAGCAACTGAAGGAAGTTAGTTCATTCTGAGAAGTTTTTATGATTGTTGCTGGTACTAAAGTGAGTTTTAACCTTTATCACTTTTATAGGACAATGGAAGAATCAAAGTCGAGCATGAAAGGTAAAAAAAAAAATTCTTTAATTGTTTGAATCTCTATTTTTAAGGAATTAGCATGGTTATCCATTCCGTAGTAGTCATAATCCTGAGCATACTCCCAAATGTCCTGGGTTCAAAATTTATTTCACTTCCCAACAGTCAGGAATTTTCAATTAACAAATTAAGTAATACAAAATGAATGAGAGCTTCCTTCATTTTGTATTACTTAATTTGTTAATTGAAAATTTTCCTCAATATATATAAAATTTCCTCAATTTATATATATTTTCCTCAATATATATAAAGGCAAGGAATAAAGAAGATTAAAATGCTAATTCATAGTATTATGTCTCTATTAAGTAATGGTGTCTGTTTACTAAACTCCTAGAAAATTGACAGGCAATGATTTCATGTCATTTCTCAGATTATTCTGTTGAACACTCGTGTTCCATGAGATCTGAATGGTGTATTATGGATGATGTGTCTATGACCAGATGAGGTTAGAAATACTGTGTGCCATTAACCTCTTCTTGAACAGTCCTGTTGCATTTCAGTACGTTAAAGATGGAACAGGTACTGCTTTGAAGGAGAAAAGGAACAAGAAAGAGGAAGAAACAACAGAAGTTTAACTTTGTTTAGCCCAGTATTCCCAAATATCTTTGACCTGGAAACATACTTTCTCAGATCACCTTTAATTGCTCACAGAAAAGTTCCAGGAGACCATAGTCTGGGACAAGTGGCACTTTCTGATTAGTTTATGATATATCTACACTAAGGCATTGGAGATTCAAAGTTGAAGTAATCGTCACAGAACAGCTGATCTAACTTCCACCCCTCTACAAAATAAGACAAGGGTCTTTGAGCCTCTCTTCACACATGTCCTAGGATGAGAAACCCATACTTGATGGTACAGACCCATTGGAGAGGTTTTATTTTAACAAAATTCTCCCTTGTAATTTTATTAATGATTTCAGTTCTTCCCTGTGGAATAGAATTGGTTTATTGATGTTTCAACAGGCATTTATTCAAGTAAGTTATATATTTGAAAACAGCCATGGTAAGCATCCCTGGCTTCTCACCCAGCCCTCATGTGGCATGCTTTCTAGACCTTAAAATGAGGTACCTCCAATGGCCCTGAGTGCTCTGTAAGCTCAAGGAATCTGTGCAGCACTACAAAGCCCACATGCAGAGAAAGAATTCCCCAAGTGCTTGTGGTCAGAGACTAGGTTCCACATGAAGCACACCTATGATGAAGGTCTTCACCTCCAGAAGGTGACACTGTTCAGAGATCCTCATCTCCTGGAGAGTGGGAGAAAATCCCTCCTTGAGGAAATCCCTTTTCCCTGCAGCAGAGCCCGCCATATTGCTTAGTGATCATTTTGGAAGGCGCCAAGAGCCTTCAGGGGCTGACGGCAGGGAACTGGAAATGAGTACAGTTCAGATGGTGGAGGAGGCATGGCAGTGACGTCTTCCGTACTCTTTTTCTCAGCGTCTGCAACTCGAAAGATCAAGACCATAACACAGGAGACCGTCAATGGAAGATTAGTTCTTTGTCAAGTGAATGAGATCCAAAAGCAAGCATGAGACCAATAAACATTTCTGCCTGTTGTAAAATCTATTTTCCCCCAAGGAAAGTCCTCGCCCAGACACTAATGAGTGAGTTCTCAAAGATATCCTTGGAGTTATCAGAGTCAGAAACTTTTATTTTTTTCCTCTGTAACGATCTCACCAGATTTCTTATCATGCTCTTAATATATTGCACTTTTCGAATCAGTGTGAGTGTATGAGTTAAAGCTCTCCTTTCCTACTGTAGCCTTCAGATTCTCATCATTGTGCATCTATTTTGTAGCCAATAAAACTCCACACTAGCTGCATCATGTCTTTTTTTAATATCATGAGGCAAGACAGCGCCTCGAGGTCTCACCCTAACAAGGGGTTCTCAGAACATTGTCCACGGAAGATCCAGAGAAGTCTCGACATCAGGCACATTGACAGCAGCCAGACACTGGGCGGAATTGTCACCCTGTAGCCAGGCAGCCTGGGCATCAGGCTTTCCACAATCCACACCTCTGCCAGCAGGAAGAGGGGGAGGAAACAGTGAAAGGGAGGCCCAGAAAGCCTCACTGGGAGTGTGACATGACCAAAAAGTATGCTCTCTCACTTTTAAGACGGAAAAATGCTGAAGGGCCTAAAAGAGTAAGTCTCTTTTAGGTCATTGCAAGCTAGAAAAGGAAATTAAGGGGGAAAAAATTGCATTACAGGCAGATACTAAGGCTCTAAAAGGGGAAGTAACTCATCTAAGATCCAAATTGTAAATATTAGTATCCTGAGTATCATGCTGTATTAGTCTGTTCTCATGCTGCTATAAAGACATACCCAAGACTGGGTAAGTTATAAAAGAAAGATGTTTAATTGACTCACATGTGGACATGGCTGGGGAGGCCTCACAATCATGGTGGAAGGCAGAGGGGAAGCAAAACGTCTTACATGGCAGCAAGCAAGAGTGCTTATGCAGGGGAGCTCCCCTTTATAAAACCATCAGATCTCAGCTGGGAGTGGCGGCTCACACCTGTAATCCCAGTACTTTGGGAAGCCAAGGTGGGCCGATCCCCTGTAGTCAGGAGTTCAAGACCAGCCCAGCCAACATGGTGAAACCCCATCTCTACTGAAAATACAAAAATTATCCGGGCGTGGTGGCGGGCGCCTGTAATGCCAGCTACTCAGGAGACTGAGACAGGAGAATTGCTTGAACCCAGAAGGCAAAGATTGCAGTGACCCGAGAACACGCCACTGCACTCCAGCCTGGGTGACAAGAGTGAGACTCCGCCTCAAAAAAAAAAAAAAATCAGATCTCATAACTATCAGAAGAGCATGAGAAAGACCTGCCCTCATGATTCAATCACCTCCCGCGGAGTCCCTCCCACAGCACATGGGAATTACGGGAGCTGCAATTCAAGATGAGGGTTGGGTGGGTACACGGCCAAACCACATCACAGGCTGAACTGTAGCAGGTGGGTAAACCATGAGACTACGTACCTCTGTCCTCTGAAGAAGATGCCATTTTCTCATTCTAGGAATGTGGGCCACTGTTCTGAGGCCAGTGCAGAGGAGCACTGCTGGAGAAAAGGAAGGGGGAAATCCACATATCCATTAAGACAGCATCGGAAAATGGAATCATAGGATATTAACAATTTAAGAGACTATAGACACAGGATACTCCAAATCTCCTGTTTTACAGACAAATCAACGGAGGCCCAGAGCAGTGAAAGCATTCGCCCAGACACTCACTGGATAGGAGCAGCTGCGCCTAGACCCCAGTCTCGACTTCTTTAACAGCTGTTAAACCAAAAATGAGTGTGATTTAGTCCCATTGTCACCTGATACATTGGCAATGTCCTACATAGTTTTTGTCTCTGTGTTTAATACTCTTTTGTAAAGCGTTGCTTTTGATATTTTCTGAACTGGGCATCTGTTAAAATTGGATTCATCTTCTCTTTAAAGCTACAATTGGTGTTTCTGATCTTTAATGCCAAAGAATAGAAAACCAGCCCCTAACGATTTGAAATTAGGCAAAAAAAAAAAAAAGAAGAAGAAGGAAAGGAACCACACCCTAGCAAAAGTTACTATTGGTTTAACTAAAATACACTAACTGTCTGGTGTAAAATTAATATTTATCATTACTCTTTCAAAGAGACTCAAAAATAACCAGTGTCACTAAGTTTTCTTTGTGCAGTATTTGTATGTGGTGACTTGTTGCTATTTGGGTCAATAATGGATTCATATTAGTTTTTGGTACTTTCTCTTTTTCTATTTCAATTTACTAGGAGAACTTTATGTTACTAGGTATTATAGCCTCTAAGCAGATCTAAAAATGATTTTTTTTCTCTATTTTAGCACCAACTCATTCTGCTCTTTTAGAGTGAAAATTAAATAAGACTTTAAGGATATTTTAGGTCCTTGGATGAAAAATTCTTCATTATGTTATGATGTACATTACCAAATCATACATCAACTATGATTGTAAATGGAAGATCTTGGCATCCCAAAGTGCTGGGATTACAGAAGTGAGCCATCACACTTGGCCTAGCTTAGAGATTTTTAAAAGTTTAATTTGTGTGAAATAATAGAGCATGCCATTTATTTGGGATAAAATAACATATTTCTAACCATAGCTTTCATGGACATTAAGCAACTTGTACCATAGTTTCACATATACCTATTTGGTCTTTCACAACAGAAAACGCATAGTAAATAATACTTTTTTTTTTAGCCACTAGGTGACCAAGGATAAATAATATCATTTTTATAATGGTAAATTTAAAAATTTATAAATGGATATTTAAATTTATCTTTTAAATAACAGTATTATTTTCTGGGTATGCTGTAGATATCAGTGGCCCCAATGAATCCATGCCTTCCAGCACTCATGCCTTTCTGTAGGGCCTCCCACATGGAGCTGGGTGTGGTCATGAGACTTGATTTGGCCAATGGAACATCAGCAAGCTTGCCACAAGCAGAGGCTTACTAAATGCTTGCACATTGCGGGTTATCCTCTTGGAATGGCCTATAGGAAGCCAGCTACCATGTGAGAAGCTAAATCACCCTAAGACATCATACTGTGACAAAGTCTAAGCCAGCCTCTTGGAGAGCCCACACCAAGCAAAGCTGAGGAATCCAGACAACAGCCGTAACTGAGGCTCCAGGCATATGACTGAGTCAAGCCATTCCAGCCAGTTCCCAGCCACTCAAGACAGTGCAGCTGCTCCCAGACGTCACAGAGCGGGAACAGGCCACCCTCAGTATTCCGAATCCAAAATTCTGGCCCACAAAAATAATTGTGAATAAATAAAATGGCGGTTGTTTTAAGCCAATAAGTTTTGGGATTGTTTTTCATGCAGCAATAGGCAAGTGAAATAGAGTATTTTAAAGGGAAGACTCTGTTACTTGCTCAGTGACAATAGTTGATTTAAGGCAAAGGAGTTCATTTGCATGCCACTAAACTTTTGACCAGAATATTAGTCATTTTAACACTCACATGCACCTCCAAGAAAGTCCTGGTCTAATAACAACAGATGAAGCACCAAACTCTCAAGAGAATTGCCAGGGTCTACCCTCTTCAAAGACAGTAGAGAGTAAAGCCATTGCCCATGAATGATATTCACAGCTCTCCTCTCGCCTTCCCAAGAGGGACCAGCAGGGTAGCTCCAACCTGGAGAGAGGGCTTCCCCTGCTCCTCACTCTAACATGCTAGGATGCTCAAGTAAATTCTTCTTCTTATCTTTAAGTTTCAATTCCTTTTGACTCTCTGTTTTAGTTCCTCATTCCAGGGACATTAACAATTTCTCTACAAATATTTATGCCCACAAATCAACAGTTTCACTAAAGGTGATCTGTTTTCAACATAGGTAAGCATTGTTCTCCTTCACCAAGAAACTATAAGTCATTTACAAATTGAGGTGATCATCATTATTATTTCGTGGCTCCTAGTCATAATATTTAAAAGTCATTAAGAGCATAATTCATTTATTCTAGCCATGATTCTTCACAATAAAATACTTCACAATACTCTGAATGCTATACTTTTATACAGCCTTTAATCAATAAGTACTTTTACGATTTTTGGTGTTTACCTATCACCTGAAGTATTTTGTTGGTTATTTCTGTATGGTAACAACATTGGTTTTCCGAATTACTGCATGCCTACGTTCATTCCAATGTGTGTGACTCATTTCCATCTCATCTATTCTATTACAACATCTATGTGTCACATCTCTCTGAAGAGGATTAGAGTTTCTAAAATATACTTGAGGTGAGATCACGTAAAAAGGAAAAGACAGTGTTTCTGACATACTCAACGATGACCTAGTGATACTCAGAAGTTCTACCTTAAAATTGCATGTGTGTGTGTGTGCGTGCGTGCATGCATAACTATTTCAGACATGGATTGTCCTACTCACCCAAACTTCTCTTTGAAATTTAAATGGGAATTTCTCTAATAAAATTATGAGTCATCTCATAAAAACTACAAGTCAATTTGTGCTAATTCCATGGTATGCCTACACAGCATAGCACGTATGTATATGACGTACATACACATATACCAGGAGTGTTTTAAATAACAACTATCCATGACTGAGCTTTATATTAGGATTTCATTTAACATTTGTCACAGCCCTGTGGCATATTACCTGTATTTTATGTTTGGGGAAACAGGCTCAAATGGACTGCATTAACTTGCCTGTGGTCATACAGCTATAAAATGATGGAAACAGAACTTGTACCTGGTGTATTTGCTGTTTGTGCCACACAAGTCGACAATGCTTGCTAGAGAGTTACGTGAAATCAGAACACGGGCAACACATTTTAATGAGCCCTTGCTGATGGATTTCATCTAAGGTTAAGAGTCCAGGGATGAGAAATCTGGATTTTCCTATTTGAAAATCAAAACTCATATTTTTCAGAGGCAATTAGTAAGCAGTTTGACATCATTTGCCTGATGATAGAACAAGATCCATGAGTCAGATATAGGCACTCAGGACCAGAGGACAGGTTTTTATGACCAAAAGCTACCTTCTCATTTCTCAAACCTCCAGGCATCCACTCCTTTGCACACAGAGGTTGTGCTCTTAACTTGTTTTAGCCTAAAACCAATCAGCATCAGGGATGATGATGGCTTCCCTGAGAGCTTAGCAAGTTCCAAACCTGGAAGACATCAAACCTTCGACATCTGTCCAGTTAAGACTCCACACTCACTCTTGGTTTCTATCAAAATCGTCTTTCCTCACACACAGAATATGATAGGACAAGACAAAGAGAGGGTGGTAATAATGGACAGGCCACAAATACACCTAATACCATCAACAGTCATAAGCTGAAAAGATGTTATCCAGAGTCTCATCACAAAAAACATATTCTGAAAATGTTCGTGTATCATCTCCAGCACCCTAGGAAGCAGTCGTTTCAGGTCGCCACCCAGTCCCAAGCCTTGTATGTCAGTAGTTCTGAAATCTTAATGTGCATACTTATCATGTGGGGATCTTGTTAAAATGCAGATTCTGATCTAATTGTTCTGGGTTGAGACCCAAGATTTTGCTCATCTAATGAGCTCCCAGAGGATGCTGAGGCTGCTGACCCATGAGTCACAAGATTATGGGCGATTTCGATCAATTGACGATTCAATGCATTCCCCACCGTGAATGTCATGTCTATAAACCAGTCTCAGGACCGGTTTACATGAACAGGATGAAGGCAACATCGTCAGAATCCCACTAGCACAGTCTGGCTCCACGCAAGCTAAACCTGCAAGAGCATCAAGTCAGGCCTGGAAGGGAGATGTTTCCTAGGTTCTCACCAAGAACAGAAGACAGAATGAGGTCTGGAAATTAAGGTTGATCATATCGCCCCAAACTTTTCCTGGATTCCATGCATAGTACAAGCCATGAGAGGTTCACAAATCAGATTCATGGGAGAGGATGGAAAACACGTGTCCAAGTTTGTCTATTGTGTTAGCTATTGTGTTAGCTAATCTATTCCAAAAAGTGTACCCCTATTTACGTATAAGTGAGTATTCACTTACAAAAAATCTTTCTAAATTCTCTTCAAGGGCCATTTCTTTCTTCAATGAACCGAACGATGGCTGAAGTTTTTGTTGTTGTTGTTTTCTGTTTTGAGACAGAGTCTCACTCTGTCACCCAGGCTGGAGTGCAGTGGCGCCATCTCAGCTCACTGCAACTTCCACCTCCCAGGTTCAAGCGATTCTCCTGCCTCAGCCTCCAGAGTAGCTAGGATTACAGATGCGCACCACCACGCCTGGCTAACTTTTGTATTTTTAGTAGAGAGGGTGTTTCACTGTGTTAGCCAGGTTGGTCGCAACCTCCTGACCTCATGATCCACCCACCGTGGCCTCCCAAAGTGCTGGGATTACAGGCGTGTGCCACTGCACCTGGCCTGGCTGAACTTTTAAGAAAAAAACAACAACAACTCTGAGAAATTGTGTCCTATTCCATACTCAATTAAATCATCTTGGACAGGCTGCTTTCCTTTGTGTTATGGATGTCATTACTCTTTGTTTTCAAGAAAGTTGTACTGGAATGAGTGGAGTTGGAATAAAGAACCCATAAAGAAGTGGTCATTCAATACCTGCTTCACGCCTACTGTGGTGTGAGTCACTATCAGGAAGACAAAATAAGGAAGCTACAACTTCAGAGAAGGAAATTTAAATATACAAAAGAGTCCCTTTGCCCAACTGCAATTCCTGTCACCCGTAATCATGGTAAGTGATCCTAATAATTATTATCTTTGCTTGTATTATGATAAGGAAATTGATTTGAGCTGGGAAACAAGAAGAAAACATGTCTCTTCAGTAAAGCTCTTTCCACCCTCCCCCACTCAACAAAAACTTCATAAAGCCACTGGTAACTCTTATGCCCCGCTCCACCGAGTCGACTCCTGTGACTGGCCTCACGCCCTTCTCAAGCACCCAGGGCCTTCCCCGGTGTGGCCTCAGCTTGTTTTTCCAGAGGGCGGCCGTCATTACCTGAATGGCAGGTTTGCTACGCAAGCGCCTTAGCATAGGGCTTTGTAGACATCACGCCTGGGCTGTCATTAGTGTCCTCTGAAAGTAATAATCAGCCAGCAGACCAAAGAAAGACATTCCAAGAAAATCCACTACTACCAGTGTATGGGGAAACCAGGGAATAGCTAATTGATGTGTTTTTAGTTCATCAAAGAAAGGCCTAACTTCCACACACCACACAAGGATAGGCCACCCCAGAGTCTATTTATGACTATGCCCGGCTACAGCGCTGAGAGCTGGGGAAGGCTGCGCCCTTGTAGCTGGCAGCCCTGGGGAAGCAGGTAGCATCTCCCATCATTCCCTTATGGATAGGAGGCTGAGCC